CCGGGACTGCTATGCCTTCCTGCGGGAGGGGGTGCGCTACCAGCACACGGCGCCTGCCGGCTCCCCTGACCACGACTATGTGCCCATGAGGGTGGACGCACTGCCTGCCGGGGCAGCGGGGCCCGGCGAGCGGGAGTATTTCCAGGTGGTGGTGCGGATCCGTGAGGGCGCCGAGAACAAGCCCCCCCGGCCCAGCTCCGCGGCGCTGCTGGTGATGGAGGTGGACCAGTTTGTGCTTGCCGCCCTCACCCCCGAGGCGCTGGCCGCCGAGGACCTGGAGACCCCTGCAGACCTGCTGCTTTTCAACCTCACCTCGGGGGGTGGTGCCGACCTGCGCCGGCACGGCTACCTGCTCAGCACCGACGACCCCGGCCGGCCGCTCTCCACCTTCACCCAGCGCGAGGTAAGGGAGCTGAAGATCGCCTACCAGCCGCCCACCATGGACTCGGACCGGGAACGGCTCTTTCACCTGGAAATGGAGGTGCTGGACCCTGAGGGCGCCTCTTCGGAGCCCTTCGCCTTCGTGGTGGTGGTGAAGCCCATGAACACGCTGGCCCCTGTGGCCACGCTCAACCGAGCCTTGGGCCCCCAGCTAATGCTGTTTGAGGGCCAGTCCCGGCCGCTTGCAGGCAGCCTGGAGATCAGTGACGAGGACAACCTGGATGAAGTGAAGGTCTGGGTGGCGCGGGGCCTACGGCATGGCGAGCTGAAGGTGCTGGGGGCACCGCCTGGCCGCAAGCACTTCACAGCTGCTGAGCTGGAGGCCGGGCATGTGGTTTACCAGCATGATGGCAGTGAGCAAAGCTACAGCGACAACATTGTCTTCCAGATGGAGGATGGGAAGCACCAGGTGGAGTTTCTTTTCCCCATCACGATTGCCCCGGCTGACGATCAGCCACCCCTGCTCAATGCCAACACCCGGCTGGTGCTGCGAGAGCACCAGGCAGTCCAGATCTCACCCTTCATTCTCAGTGCCACAGATATCGACTCTGACGATGCCACTATCCGCTTCGTACTTCAAGAGGAGCCTATAATGTCTTCCCAAGCTTTGCGTCCCCACCGCCGCCTAGGTGAGCTGCTGCTGCGTCAGGCAGAGCCGCCACCATCCTACGAGAAAGGAAAGGATGTAGAGAAGGCTGGTGGTGCCCCTCCCTCCTCTTGGCACTTTGTGGAGAGTGAGGGTATGTATGAGAAGGTGGTGAGTGAGTGGCGGCAGCAGGACATCCTGGATGGAAGGTTGTTCTACAGGCACACTGGACCGCATAGCACCACCTCTGTGACAGATCAGATCTTCTTTCACCTCCAGGATGATAATGATCCCCCTAATGAGTCTGGGGAGCAGGTGCTCACTGTCAAAGTGCAGCCAGTTGACAGCTTGCCTCCAGAACTGTACCCAGGCACTAGCCTACAATTGACTGTCCTGGAATACCAGTTGACCTACTTCAAAAAGCGCTATCTGCGCTACACTGACCTGGACACAGATGACAGAGAGTTGAAATACACCCTGCTCACACCCCCAATGGATATTGATGAAAACCACTCTGTACTAGCTGGGGAGATTGTGCTGGCTGACAACCCTGAGATGTCCATTATCCAGTTCACCCAAGCCCAGGTGAACCACCACAAGGTGGCTTACCAACCTCCAAACCAAGAGCTGGGGATCACCCCAAGGGTGGTGCAATTTACCTACAGTGTTGAGGACTCAGCAGGCAACTCTATACCAGGTACTTTCACTCTCTTCCTCCAGCCAGTGGACAACCAGCCACCCCAGATCACTAACACAGGCTTTACTGTGCTTGAAGGAAGCAACTTCCTTCTCATGAGTAGTCAATTAGATGCTACTGACCCAGACACAGACACAGACCGCATTATCTTCACTTTAACCCAGGCACCCCAGCACGGCCATTTGTATTATTTGGAGGAGGGTATGATGGTCCAAGGGGAATCTTTCCTGCTAGATGATATTGCCAGTGGGCGCATATCCTATCAACACAGTGGTGATGAGTTCACCAGTGACTCTTATCAACTAGAAGTGAGTGATGGTGTCCACCATGTGCCAATCACTGTCAGGATCACTGTGCAGCCAGTGGATGATGAAAGCCCTAGCATCACTCTTCCTGGTGGTAATGGGCTTCTGGGAGCCTCAATTGATGTCCTGGAAAATGGTGCCACTGAGATCACTACCTCCCTTATCCAGGGAACAGATGAGGATACTGATGACTTGGCACTGACTTTCATTGTAGAGGATCCCCCTAAACTGGGTGACATTCTGGTGAATGGGATTCACTCAGAGAGATTCACTCAGCAGGATCTCATAAGTGGGACAGTAGTCTATGCTCATACTGGTGGAGAGATTGGCCTGAAGAAGAGCCATGACTTCTTCAATCTCACCATCTCTGATCTCTCCAGTGAGTGGGTAGTGGGAGGCAGCATGGTACAAGGTGTACGTGTATCTGTGACTGTGTTGCCTGTGGATAGCATTGCACCTGAAGTGACGGTTGGGGCAGAGCGCTTTGTTGTCTCTGAGGGGGGGAAGAATATCTTGACTCTGGAGCAGCTGGATGCAGAGGATCTAGATAGTCCTAGGGATGACCTCTTGTGCACCATCACTGTTCAGTCCACTTCTGGATACCTGGAAAACATCTCTCCAGCCCCCGGCTCTGAAAAATCTAGGGCTGGCACTGCCATCAGTGCCTTTTCCATTAAAGATATTCGTCTGGGACACATCAACTATGTGCAGAGCATTCACAAAGGGGTTGAGCCTGTAGAGGACAGATTCACTTTCCACTGCTCTGATGGCATCAACTGCTCTCCTCACCATTTCTTCCCCATTGTCATTATCCCCACCAATGATGAAAAGCCTGAGCTGTTTATGCGAGAGTTTGTGGTGCTTGAAGGAATGAGCCTAGTGATAGACACACCCATCCTTAATGCAGCTGATGCTGATCTTCCCCCAGATGAGCTTCACTTCTTCATCACTGTTCCTCCTAAGCATGGGCGGATTGTGCAGCAGCTGGCAACCGGTACCATACCTGTTCACAACTTCACATTGGAGGAGATCCAAGAGGCCTCTAGCATTGTGTATGAACATGATGATTCAGAGACTAAAGAAGACCGCTTCAAAATCCGGCTAAGCGATGGCCAGCATATAGTGGAACAGGAAGTGCTGATTATGGTAATCCTGATGGATGATGAGACCCCGAGGATGGCTATCAATCAGGGGTTAGAAGTGGAGATTGGCGAGACCAAGGTTATCACAAACCGGGACCTTAAAGCCACAGACATAGATTCAGAGGACAGGAGCCTCACCTATATCATCCGTTTGGCACCCGAGCAGGGTCTTCTGCAGCTCCTAAACAAGCAGAGGGAGGTGTTAGGCAACATTACACGAGGTATGAACTTCACCCAGGATGATATAGACCAGGGTCTTATCCATTATGTTCACACTGGCCAACATGGGGTCCGTGACCTGGTTAAGTTTGATGTCACAGATGCCATTAATCCCTTGATAGACAGATACTTTTATATTACCATCAGCAGCATTGACATGGTCTTCCCTGAGGTGGTCAACAAAGGGGTTACTCTGAAAGAGGGTGGGAAGGTGACACTCACAACTGATTTGCTCAGCACAAGTGATATTAATAGCCCCGATGAAAATCTGCGCTTCGGTATCACCCGGGCACCTAGTCGGGGTCACTTGGAGAACTCAGACAGTCCTGGGGTGCCTGTTACTGCCTTCACTCAGCTCCAACTAGCTGGCAACAAGATTTACTATATCCATACTGCAGAGGATGAGGTGAAGATGGACAGCTTTGAGTTTGAAGTGACAGATGGCCATAATCCAGTCTTCCGCACCTTCAGGGTCTCCATTACTGATGTGGACAATAAAAAGCCAGTTCTAACTATCAATGAGTTGGTGGTTGAGGAAGGCGAGACCAAACTGATCACCCCATTTGAGTTAACTGTGGAAGACAGGGACACCCCTGACAACTTGCTCCATTTCATAGTAATTCAGGTCCCTGTTCACGGCCAGATTTTATACAACAGCACCTACCCTGTGACCAGCTTCACTAAACAAGACTTGAATGAGAATCTCATCAGCTATAGACATGATGGTACAGAAACCAGCCAGGATAGCTTCTCCTTCACTGTCACTGATGGAACCCACACAGACTTTTACATTTTTCCTGACACAATCCTGGAGACTCATCAACCCCAGATGATGAAGATTCACATCAATTCTCTGGACAATGGGGTGCCACAATTAGTGGTAAACAAGGGTGCCCCAACCTTGAGAAGCCTTCCAACAGGGCACTTGGGTTTCCTAATCACCAGCAAGTCACTGAAGGCAGAAGACAGAGACAGCCCACACAAACTGCTGAAATACAGAATTACAGATGGGCCAGAGCATGGGTTCATCATTAACATTGGCTTTGGAAATGAGAGCATTAATACTTTTACACAAGGTTAGTGCTAATTTTTTTATTTATTTATAGTCTTTGTATCCTACAAGATGTTAGCTAAGATAACTTACTTGCCTTTGAAGGTATGTTTTTATTTTTGTGTTATTTGAAGAAAGGCACTGTGTGCTCAAAAAACCCCAACAACTCTTCCAACTACGTAGACAGTTAATCAAAGATATCACAGAATAACTTGCCTTGTACATTTCCTGGGCCATCATGGTTTCAACAGTCTATCCCTATTTCCTTTGAATCATGGTTTAAAGTTAAACTTGAATCCCTTTAAAAAAATGACAAAATTCATTTAAAATCTGACACTGTTTATAAAGGTAGTCTTAGTATTACAAAAAATGCCTTTTAAAATAAAACTGGAAAGCTTGATTTACATGCCAAGACCTAATTGAAAAGTTCTTTGGTCACTTAAAAGTCTTGGTGACATTCTTAACATGTGGTCCAGGGGCTAGAACGTGGTACTAACATGTGTAACAGGAGGCCTAATATAAAATTTTCTGAATTGCCTGAGGGTTTTGGGATTCTAGTCTCAATGTCTTTATTTCAGACTCTAGTGCTGATATGTTGAAAGTGGGGAAGCAGCTATCCCTGTTTCTGGAGGACGAGTGATCTTGATTGGATTATAGATTTGCATGCAAATAGACGCAGACTAGGCAGAGGGTCAGGAATGGTGCATTTTATATGACTTGCTCCCCAGCTCCGCTATCCCTTGAGGAAACTGTCAGGGAAACTTCTAAATGTAATGCTATAAAATCTAACACAGGCTAAGGCTAAATTAAATTTTTCATGTCACCTTTTTCAGATCAGGAGCTATGTTGGGGTAACTGTCATTATTCTGCTGAGAAGGCAGCCTAAGAAAGCTGGGTGGCAGTAGAGAGACTGTAGACTTCTGCTGAGACAGCCACATCCTATAGTAGATATTTAGACATCTTTAGATTTTGGGGTGTTTATTCCATAGGGGAGGAAACTCACTCATCTTTGATACATTGGAAACTGATAAGGAGAACCTTGTAGTGTTTCTTTTCATCTGTGCAGTTTGGTTTTTGCATGCAGGAACAATCTATACCTATCTAATGCTGATTAAAACAGCTGAGAGAATGAAGCATTCCATTGGGGTTAGGTGCTTTAAGTAAATAACATTGCTCTTGTTGAAGAAACAAACCTCATAAATTAGGAAGGAAAAAAAACCTTTCAGGTGTAGAGCTAGATGTAACAATTATATCATTGCTAGAGGATACTGATACAAGCTGGTATCCAGCAGCTGTCACTGCTGCATGATTTTGAAGTGATGTAAGCATGTAGTCAAACTTCACCCCTGCTTCATCCAGGGTCAAAGTTAGGGTAATTTAGCCATCTTGTATTCCTACAGGATCATATTCATGTAACAGCTGCTGCATGCTCCTAAGAAGCAGCTCTCTCTCCCCTTTTAAAGTGGCTAAGTTGTACATTTGCCCTCGGTTTGCTTTTATAAATTTGTACATAGCTTTTGGACACTTTTCTGTAACAAATTTCAGATTTTTATTAGAATGTCATTTAAAAGGCTTTTATTCACCTTTCAAGCTCTGATGTAGAAAAAAACACAAACCGATATATTTATTTTTACTGTTCATTCAAGATGTTTCACCTCTTGAAAGAATAATGATTTCATTCGACTAGAAGTACAAAAATTGCTTGCTTGCAGGTATAACTGGTATCAAACTCTGTAAATGCCCCTCTACATGTGCAGGGAAAGGTACAATGGGCATATCCCCATGAGTGGGAATGTGTGGTTTTCAGCACCTCAGAGTCTAGGGGTGGGGGATCGCTGGGAGGTATGCTGTAGGGACCCAGCATCTGCAGCTGTGGGTCTCTGGGTCCTGGCAGCTGTAGGGTGCTGCTATGACCCAGAGCCTGCAGCTCATGGGGCTTAGAGGCCCCAGAAGCTGTGAGACTCACAGCCCCAGTTGGGTAAAGTGCACCCCTGCAGCTGGGAGCCCACAGCTGATGGAGCTCCCAGCTATAGGGGACACCCTGCTACACATGTAAATTAGAGCTCAGTAGTGACCAGCTATAAAGGTAGTACACATTTTTGAGGTCTAACTTTATAGCTGGCTGGAGCTTTTTATTGAGTGAAAGCTACTTTGCATGTGTAGCTGGTCTCAAGGTAATTGCAATACCTGTAATATGTATCGCGGGGGGCCTAACTGTCACACACTCAGTATTAGATCCAGAATCTTTTGATTGAGTGATGTATGAAGAAATAAATATGTGAAGATCCATGGAAACAATTCAGGGAGTTTTGGATGCAATCACAGATCAATAGAAACAATCCCATTCTATTCTGTGAACATCAGATTAAGTTTTTAATTAGTTCAGATATTAACTTTATTACAACAGTTACCCCTGCATCTTCTGATACAAAATTATTCCAGATAAAAATGTATGTGCATAGTGTAATCCCTCTGCCCTCCCAACCCACCTCAAAAACAAAACAAAACTGTAGAAAAATCTTTACTCCCAACTTAAAATTTAGGTATAACAAAATTATGTTTATTATAATGTTGATTAAGAGTTTCTCAAAACCAGAGCTGGAAATGAAATTATTCTTCTAAGCTGCATATTACAGTCCAAACCCACTAAATCCCATTGTGTTTTTCCTTTTTTTTAAATTTAATAATCTAATAAGTTAAAACCGGGACAGCAGTAGAGGGTGAATTCTTGTTTATGTAGTTTAAAATTATACGTGTTCTAAAATTGGCTTTTTCTTTGCTTACCTGTGACAAGAAGTAGTTTGTGAGAATGTTATCATATATTACTTTAAAATATTAAAGTTTAAATTGTATTGATAAACCTTGAATTCTACAGTAAAATATTTTGGTAAAAGACTTTTCATTTTTCTTTGTTATCAGCTGATATTGATGAAATGAAGATTAGCTATGTCTTGAAAGAGGGTGACAATGCTACTAGTGACATCTTCTACTTCTCCATTGAAGACAATGGTAAGTTTTGTACTTTTTAAATGCAGTGTATCTTAAATTCAGATTCAGCAACAGAGTATGATTTACATTTGAATTTATAAAATACTTTTTTGCCCTGGTTATAACATTTTTGTATATAATTTTATAATGAAATAATTACTGATACACTTATTAAATGTATAATGTTATAATTAATGTACATTTTTATGGCAAGATACATAGTTTATGCAATTCTTGATAGATGTTGAGTCTGTCACCATTACATTGCTAATTCAAGCCTTGGCCCATGTCAATAATTGCTGAAAGCTGTCACCACGTGTGGTCCATATCAAAATTTGCCATTGGTATTTGTCCAGTTCCTGAAGATCAGCAGTGCATATTGCAAAAACTATAGTCTTTGTAGGTGGGCCTTGTTAACCTTTTTAGCAGAGAGACCAAGAACTGAATCAGCACAGAGACTGAAGACCAAAGTCCATTTACATAATGAGGCAGAGTCTTTAAAATTGGACTGAGGTTTTGGTATACTGATAGGATAGCCTAGATAAGTTAGTACTATTGTTGCCTGTGCCAGGACAGATCTCTTTCTTGAGTGGAGCTATGCCAATCTGCTTGAGTTGAAGATCCATCACACTTCATCTGTTCTGTAAACTTCGCTTTTTAGTGAGGTCAGTTTGATACTGTCCAATGTACAACCACTGTACAGGTACAGATGTTATACTTAATGTGTGTTAAGCATGTAGAAATCACTTTAAAGCCATGACAGAACAGATGTTTATGGTACTTAAAGTGCTGTAAAAATGGTGGATTTCACTCTAAGTTAAAACCCTTGATGAATATGGTATTAAACTAAAGTGCTTTAGGTTAGAGCACTTTTTAGAACAGCTGTACCACATCCATCATGCTTTAGCATAGACTGTATTCTGCTGTCATCCCTGGGGACCTTTGCTGGGTGGCTTGCTAGCTCAGCCAGTTGTCATCTGCTCCAGGCGACTGGTCCAACCCTACCCCTGGGCTGTTGCAGAGAGGAGACCGAAAAGGCTCTGTCTCCTCCCTGTGCATCCAGGTGGCGAAAATGAAACCTCTCGGCTGTGTGGATCCCCGCCCCACCCCCAAGCTTGTGGGCTCAGGTCTTAGTGGGGTCCATGTGGCAGAGAGGCTCTATTCCCTGCCCTGCCTGGCCCCAGTTCCCGGCACAGCAAATATCTGGGCTGGGCAGCCCCGTGCTGCAGCTCCTGGATGCCATTGTCAGGAGGCGCTGGCAGGGGGAGGTTGGGGGAAGGGAAGGCCCCCACTATGCAAGCTCCCCCCACAGCTTGCTGTCTGGGGTGTTGGGGGCTGGGTCTTTGCGGCTGTTGGAGGCTGGGCTAGGTCTGTGCAGTAGGGAGGTTCCCTTCTCTCTCCCCCTCCCTCTCCCCCAACCCAGTTCCTCGCTCAATGAAAAGCTAGGCAGGGTAGCCTCATGCTGCAGCTCCTTGCTGCAGCTGTCAAGATACTGAGGCAGAGAAAAAGGGAGCCCCCCTGCTGTATATACCCAGCCTGCCCCCACTACCTACAAGACTCAAGCCAGCAAGCTGTGGGGGTCATGGAAGAATGGATTCATTCCCCTTCCTTCCCCACCTCCTCCAACCCCTGCTGACAGTTGCCAGCTGGCGGGGGGTAGAGCTGGGGACAGGGGACACTGGTAGCCTCCTGGGAGCATTGCAGGAGAACCCCTACCTGCCAGTTTTGGCTAGTGCAGGCAGGCAGGCAGTGAGCCCCACT